TTTATTCTTGGAAATATTTTTCAAACTCATCTGTTTGGATGGCTGACAGCACCTCCCTCGTTGTTTTTCGTCACCTCTTCTACCTGGTCAAATCGCTGTCCTTTCACGTCCCTCTTCACTCACAGAAACAAAAAGAAGTTACATGGAGTGAAGTCAGGTGAGTACGCTGCTTGGGGCAAGAGAGACATGCTGGTTTGTTTGTTTGTTTTGCCCAAACCTGGTGCACTGGATGGCTGCGTGAGCAGGTGCGTTGTTGTGGTGGCAAAACCAGTCCCCCATTTGCCACAAATCAGGCCTTTTTTGTTGCAAACTCCAACCAAGGAATAAACCAGATTTGCCAATAGAAGTTCAATTGATCAGATGGGGACAAAAGTCTTTGTGGGGAACAGAAGGATTTCTATTAAGTTGTCTCCCCAAAATATGTACCAAACTTAGTTGCTTAAGAGTGACTGTACAATGGGTGATCAGCGAAAGTAGGTCAGAGGTTATTCTCCTTAACATCAGCCATCTATAGTGGCTAAGACTATTAGTCTGACTCACCCTAAATAAGACCCACTCCCTTCTGATAAGGATAATGGTGGTCTGTTTACTTGCAGGAGATACCAGAGAGGGCAGACCCGCCCAAGGGTGACCAAGGTTAGATAGTTATTATCAGCTGTCTAGATCAAGCAGACACCACTGTTTATTCCACAACCAATGTGGGCACACGCCTAGGTGATTCCCCTCCTATTGATTGTATTGCTTATGTTACTACCCCTCCTGGTGACTCAGGTTATTGTCCCCTATCAGGGAACTTGCATGCCTCCCAGAATAGTAATTGTCTGTTTTATTATGTGAGACATTAGAGTGATCAAACTTGTTCTAGAATGAATTGTATTGCCCCTTTCTGTGATGTATGACTCTGTAATCAAATATGATGCGTGGTTAGCAATAAATAAAGAGGCTGCATGGTTCTCGGAGGAGTGGCTGGCCGAGGGTGGTTGGAGAAGGTGACTAAGGAGGACCAAGCGGCGGCTTCTTCTCTGACGACTGAGCCCCCTCCATGAGGACCATCAAGCCTAGCTGAGGTGAGCTATGCTACCATGAATTGCGTCTGACTCCATTACTTGACTCCATCCTTTAACTCTCATGCGCTCTATGACTTTACTATAATCTCTACTTATTATCGCTGTACAATTGCGCCTACCGAACCTGTGATGTTTTGTGGGGTTCCCTCTTCCCCTTAACCCCACAGTCTTAATGCAACATAACATGATTTGAGACTGGGAAAATGCAGTCATGCGTGCCATCCCTCAGGAGGCTCCTTACAGACCCAGCTTGGTTCTTCTCCAATGTCTTCTCTTGGAGTTGTACCTGATTTTATTACCGGTTTTCATTCGAATCCATTGGGGGAATGGGCCGATTCTGCTTGTTTCTTAGCCAGGAATCTCTAGATCCTGAAAGTCTTATGAGATGACATGACGAAGTCGGATCAACACCACACTCAGGATGGCAGAGAAACTGAGAGAACTGTATCTTCCTTTTCCATTCAGCTCCAAATATTTCCTGACTTCCCTTTTTAGTTCTGATTTGAATCACTGGTTGTTTAAAAGTGTGTTTTACTTAATTTTGTATGAGAGAAACTCATATGTGTGCATTCACGTTTTCTTCCTGGTAGACATGGCTAATTTTATTCCAATGTGGTTGAAGAACATCTTTTTATAATTTCTATCCTTTCAGATGTATTGCTGTTTGGTGTCTACCCAGTTGGTGTCTATCATAGAAAATTGTTCTATGTGCACTTGAAAAGAATATTTCTGCCAGCCCCCGCCCCCCTTTAAGCCATTTTATTATGAATTAGGTTAATGCTTACAGAGGAGGTCATCAGCCTTCTATTCAGCAATTCATACATTTTGTTTCAACTCACCCAGTGTATTCCATCAATATTACCATGACCTATTCTGCTTCCTCCTGAGGTTTCTTGTTCCTGATACTCCGTCTTTCCTAACCCTCTTAAGTTTGTCCGGGTGTGCTGTCATCACTGTTATTCTCCATTTATCTCTAGCTGCTAATATCCTTGGCAATGGCTGCACAGAACCCACCGACACAATTCATGAGTAAAGGGTTTATTAAGGAAGTTAACAGGTTGTAATGACAATGCGGAATGCTCAAGATTGTTTACCAGGGCATGTTACAAAGTTCTTTCAGGTCTGCTAATAAATGCCCCAAAGGACATATCACTCCATAGTAAGCCTCAGTCTGATGGGAGTGAGTATAGATAATTAAAAAATGTATTTAAAGAAATGCCTTTTAAAATGCTTTTAAATCAAACTCCTCATATAGGTTTGCTGCAAAAGGGCTGCTCTTGTGTGGGCTCTGCCATGCTGTCTCAGGCTGAGTTCACGCTGATCCTGACATTTTGTGGGTCAATGTTTCCATCTAATAAGAGAACATCAGTCTAGTTCAGTGATTTTAATTATCCCATGTGCACAAGGGGGGGAGCTGAATTTGGAAAATTGGCATTCAACCTCCACTTGGCTCTGGATCATTTGTGCTTTTGTCAGTTTATGTGGGGTCTAAATAATTCTGGGTTCTGTGCTGGTAGGTGGGGCCCCTGACTTACAAACTTGGCAAGTGCTCTATGGATCCCAGTGGTGAACTGGTTCTCAGAGTGACTAAAACAAGGCGCTTGAGGGGAGCTGGAAATGTGTTCCCCCACTATTACACACAAGGGGATTTCTGACAAGGCTGGGAATTCTAGGCTTTTGAGGCTGGGTAAGAAAGGATCTGGAGCCTTTGTGCTTTTTTTAAAGACACAAGATGATCTTTTGGAAGGCATATTGCAAACACAGAAGCCCTAATGGCACAGTGGGTTAAGCGCTGGGCAGTTTGAACCTACCGGCCACTCCGTGGAAGTGCTGAAGTAGTCTGCGGCTGTAAAGATTGATAGCCCACAACCCCGCGAGCTGTCCTACTCTGCCAGAGTGCTGCCGAGTTGGACTTCGTGGCAGTGGGTTTGGCTTTGTTACTTGGTTTTGTGAACATTCAAGGTTGTGCACAGTTGGGGAAATGCTGTTGTGAGGACACATGTGTTGATACCCAACCAGTAGGGCTTACATGAAGCACTATGGGACCGTGCAATCCTCACAACTACCTTGTAGAGGTGGGCTCTTGTTACTGTGACAGGTGCGGCAAGTGAGTCTGAGGCCCCAAGTCACATGGAGATGGGCCTAGGTCCTCGTGTGTCCCAGCGAGGGAGACTAAAGGGTGGTGGGGCCCACAAAGAGCATCTTCAGACCTTGCCCTATAGAACAACACTCAAAATTGAAAACATTAGAAAATCTTTGTACAAAGCAAATGCATTCTTTCAAAAGGGTCATCTGTGTACATCCAATAGGGCCAAGGCAGTTGGAGAATAGCCTGAGGCCCCCTCGGGACTCCAGAAGTGCCACTAACGGCCATCTGTCCAGTTGGCAGGTACTTCCTGTAAGCGGCATTAACACAATAGAAAACCTCACTGCCCTCGAGCCCATTCTGACTCATGGAGACCCCATGGGGCAGGGTAGAACTGCCCCTGTGGGTTTGCCAGACTAACTCTTTATGGAGAAGCCTAAGGCCCCCCTCTCGTGTGGCGGCGGAGGTGCCATCCTGTTTTAGGTTCTGGTTTTGCATTTGAAACCGAATTCAACCTTGCGTCTGGCTAGACCAGAGGATGTACACTGGTACAGATAGGAACTGGAAACACAGGGAATCCAGGGTGGATGAGCCCTACAGGACCAGTGGTGTGAGTGGCGATACTGGGAGGGTAGAGGGAGAGTGGGTAGGAAAGAGGGAATAGATTACAAGGATCTATATGTGACCTCCTCCCTGGGCGATGGACAACAGAAGAGTGGGTGAAGGGAGACGTCGGACAGGGCAAGATATGACAAAATAACAATTTATAAATTATTAAGGGTTCATGAGGGAGTGGGGAGCGGGGAGGAAAGGGAAAAATGAGGAACTGATGCTAGGGGCTTAAGTGGAGAGGAAATGTTTTGGGAATGAAGAGGTCAATGAACGTACAAATGTGCTTAACACAACTGATGTACGTATGGATTGTGATAAGAGTTGTATGAGCCCCTAATAAAACTATTAAAAAGAAATACATGAACAAATTATTTTTTTTAATATTAAAAAAAAGAATGAGGTGAATTAGTTCATGAGTTAGTCGGCCCAGAGAGCCGCAGGGGGTTGGGTGCTAATCGCAGATCCAATGGAGCTGGGGGCCACCATGCCTCCCTCTTACTTTGGCCAGGTCCCAGCAGCCATGATCTGCCACTCACAGTGCGGAACACTTACTTTCATCCTTGTCATGTATTGATTATGTCCGCCCAAAATATGTGTCACCTTGGTTGGGCCATGACCCTGTGGTTTGCAAGCTACCTAATGATGTAACCATCACATAATATGATCTGATGAGCTCTGCCGATCAGTTGCAAGTGGCAGCCCCCCAAATCAAAACCCACTGCCTTCAAGTTGATCCCAACACATAGCAACCCTATAGAGGAGAACTGCCCCTGTGGGTTTCCAAGACTAACTATGATAACACAAAGTCGTGTCTTTCTCCCTTGGAGTGGCTAGTGGTTCCGAGCTGCTGACAGTGTAACCGCAATGCCACCTACCAGCTCCAATGTTTTTTTGGTAAGTGGGTTGCAACACCCTTAATCAAGTCACAGGCCTGCTCTAATATAAAAGGAGTTTTCTTTGGGGGTGTGGCCGGCCTCACCTTTTACCTTACAAGAGAGAAAAAAAAATAAAGCGCCACAAGCAGAAAAAGTGGGATGACCAGTAACACCAAGACAGACTGGAGCAGAGCTTGTCTCGGGCCGGAGTCCCTATGCGGAGAAACTCCTAGCCCCGAGCCGACAGAGAAAGACTTCCTGGAGCTGCACCCTGAACTGAACTTCTAGTCTCGATTCAGAGAATACATCTGTGAAAGCCATCTTCTTGGGGTATTTTTCTTACGGCAGCATGAGAACGAGTTTATCATCTATTATTTATTGAATTTAATCTTGCAGGATAATGGATGTGAGGTTCAAAACTGCAACAACTTTTCTCCTTTCCTTGCCCTTAGAAAAGGCACTGTCTGGTTTTTCTGAACCAACCCAAGTGGAAGGTTCAAGCTCCGGTCCACAGCAGGTCGGTACCTCTGCCCCGGGGCTGGCTCACAGTGGGATCATCAGCTGCACCTCCTTCTCGTAGATGTCAGGGATCATACCCAGAGGGGAGCTGACCATGTGCACAGTGTTCTTGCCGAACAGCTGGAACTCGTAGTGGATGAGCTGCTCCCAGAAGCCACTGTTGGGCCGGATGATGGGTCGGCATGACTTGGCCCACACGTGGGCATCCAGCAGCGACATGGCATGGTACTTCATGAGGTAGGCAAGGCATAAGGTGGCTGAGCGGCTGATGCCAGCGGCACAGTGCAGCAGCGTACGGCCCTGCTTCAATTCCACGGTGTGGATGTGGTCGGCGATGGGGTCAAAGAGGTCGCAGAGGCGTGAGATGGGGGAGTCGGCCACAGGCACCTGCGTGTACTGGATGCCCTCATAGCGGGTGTTCACCACCTCCGCCGAGATGTTGATGACTGTGGTGATCTGGTGGTGGGACAGCAGGAGCTTGTTGTTGGCAGCTGCACCACTACTGATGTACAGGCTGCTGGTGACCTGCGAGAGGCCGCTGACTGAGGGCTGCCGGAGCTGGACAGGGAAGGCACCCGGAGGCGCTGTCATCCAGGTGGCTCAACATTCAGTGGGGAGCGAGGGAGGCATCTTTCTGCTGGGCTGGGTCCTCAGTGAGCTGCAGAGAGCAAGGGAAAGCTTATGGGCAGGGGGCTGGCAGGCACCCCTGGGGATTTCTGGGTTCATTGAATGATTCCCCTATGGGTAGTCCTCTGACGTCCCTAGGGAGCTCATTAAAAATGTAGTTCCTTCACCCTTTTCCAGGACCACTCAGCCAGACCCTCAGGATGAGGAGCCGCACACTTCGGGTGTGTGTGTGTGTGTGTGTTGTGTGTGTGTCCTTGTATGCACAGCCTTACTGGGTCCCAAGCAAGCACCTGGCTCCTTAGCCTGTCTCTCAGCTGAACTGTGGTCAGATGCAGCCCTTTCTTGTCTTTTGTCAAAGTTTCTCCCCTTCCTTTAAGCTCCTCTAAGTGGGAACCACCCATACAGTCTTCCTCCTCAGCTTCCTCAGTTTATCACCAAATCACAGGGAAGGGTGCCAACCTCCACCCTCCACCCCCCACCCCTGTCTCAGCAGCCATCACTTGAAAAGACAGATGCACCCAGGTAAAATGGGCATTACATTACAAAGTCGCTATCTTCAACATGCTGACGTCCCTGACTGCTAAGGGTCCGGGAAGAGAGTGACTGACAAGTTCCTGGGGGAGGTGAGCCTCGGAGGCACCAACAAGAAACCAGGCCGAGGAGAGAGAGAAAGGGGGGCCTCACTAGAAGGATGTGGCCTGCTGTGGTGTGTAAGTAGGTAGGGCCGACTCCTGCCTTCTCAGAAACCCCGGCCCTTTCACCCTCTCCGATGGCAATGATGCTGCTAACAAAGGACCGCCTCACACGCTTCACAGGAAGAGGAGCATTGATTTGCCCTTAGCCCACACTTCTCAAGGCCAGCCGCAGTTCTCACCAGGACAAGCACATGAAGAGAGAGTTTTGTTCCCCTGTTTGGAGATACTGCGGGGGCTGCTCACTGTCAGGGGAGGACTGAGCTCCTCACGTTGCTGTCCAGGCCGTTAGGGCCTGGCTCCTGCTCAACCTGCCACATCTGACAAGCCTTGTCTCCTTCCCGAGGAGCACAATAGGCTGAGCCGCCTGAGTGACCCTCTGCCCTGTCTGGCCAAGGCCTTTACCTCTGCCACGCTCTCCATCCAGAGTCCCCTTTTCCCTCCATACCTATCCGATCCTGTTCCATTCTGATCTGTTCCATTCAGCCGAGGCACGAAGAAGACTAGGGAGCCGTGAGATCTGAGCCCAAAGGTCATTTCAAACGCCCAGGACCACATCCCTGCCCTGCCTCATTTGATAGGCTCCCTCTCTCCAGGCTTTAAGCCCTGGATGCTCTTCTTGCTAACGTTTACTGAGGCTCCGCACACTTTTGCCTTCACAGGTCCGAGTATTTGACTTGTGTCTGTCTCCCCAAGAAACCACGTGCACTGCTGGGCTATGACGATGTGCCCCTTCCTTCGCACTGGATCACCAGTGTCAAGTGGACACCCGTCAGTCGGTGCTTGATGAGTAGGAAAGGGCTTCCAAAACCTCATGGGAAGATGGAACTAAAAGAAGATGGGAAGTTTCCATAGACTTTTCGAAGCCCTCTCGTATTTGTTGAATGAAGGAATGGCACCTTCCAGTTAAGAAGTTTGAGACCAAGGACAAGTTCTGCCTTATTTCTCTACAGGTTCAGGAGGGAGTTCAGTGGGGAGTGGAGGTGATTACTTGGCTGCCAGCCAGGAAGGCCAGAGGCTGCACAGGCAAATCCTATCTTCCCAGAGTCAAATGCATCAGGAGAGCAGATGGGGCTGGTGTCCCAAAGGCCACAAAGGGACAGGAAAAAAGCCTCCAAACACCAGGAGTAAGAGTAAATGTGGAGGGACTTCTGGATTCTTAGCATCAGAAAACCCAGGGAGAAGGAGCCTTGGCGATCAACAGGAATACGGAAGCTTCCCATTTGTCAGCCACAAGATGTCTGGAGAGAAGAAACGGTTCGTGAGAGCCGCGTTCATGCTGCAGTCAAGTGGATTCCGACTCCAGGAGCCCCCACGAGTGCAGAGCGGAAGTGCTCTACGGGGCTTTCCGGGCTGTGGCCCTTACAGTAGTCCAGGCCTGTCTTCCGAGGTGCCTGGGAACAGGTTTGAACGGATATCTTTTATTCGTGTTTAACTGTTTATACCACTCAGGAACTCTGTGGGGGAAATGCCAGCCCACCCACAACTAACTGTGGGTTGCACTATAGGTTATACAGCAATGAGAGGGGGACAATCTAGGGATATACACGCAATAGGAAGAGGAGGGATTGGGGGCACACATGTGACAAGATGGGCGGATCCTAGATTCAGGATGGCAGCCTAACTTTGGATGTCACTGAGCAGGTTTGACCTGTTCTCTGGCTCAACTATAGAAACCATTATCAGTAGGGTATAAACCCCACCTACAGGAACCAAGCTAAGGATCTCAAGCTTTTAGGGAGAAGTAGCCCATTGTCCTTAACAGCAGGGAGCAGGGCCTACCTGTGGTGGGACCAGACAGTCTGGCAACAGACTGCCTTCAGGGAGGTAACTTGACAATCATTTACCATTTGCTGCAAGCAGTGTTCTAAGTCTAACATATATTTGGGGGAGACGACTTGGGAGAAATATTTCTGCTCCCCACAGAACTCCATATTTCTACTCATGCACAGAACTATTTGCCAGGCACTGTATGAAGATTTTGAGGATGCCAACACTTACAAGAAAGCCATTCTCCATACACAGGCCAAGGTCTACACTGATGAGGCAGACACTACACAAGCAACCACAACCAGGACCAAGCTGGAGAGAGGGATAGTGCTGACCCTAAGGCTTCTGAGAGGATGAAATGAGATAATCCAGGTCAGACTGGATGTCAACTGATGGTACCTATGTGGAGGTAGGGGCGGAGCCCACCCCGTCAATCAAGTGGAAGTTGATGATACTTTCTTGAGAGTGTGGCCTTTTGTATAAGAGTAAGAGACACTGGGAACTGCTCCTCTCTTGCCCTTTGCCTTCATCCTTGCTGGGACTCCGTGTCTCCTTCCAGTGACTCTGACAGCTGTTAGCACCTTGCCATGTTTTACCAACTTTGGATCCATGCAACTCTGCTTCCCGCTTCACCTCTGTGCGCCATCGGCCTGCAGCTACGTGAGTCTGAAGAGGGCATCGGATTTGAGTTGGACAGGGCTGGGCTGCCTGCTTGATATGAAATCAGTTCTCCATATAAAAATATAAAGTTCTTTCCTGTACATAGATGAGTGTCACTCAAGTGTTTAACGCAGGGCCTAGCACAAAGCAAGCTATGAACTTTAACTATTCTTGCTAGCGGGCCCTCTGGCACTACTGCTAAGTGCTGGGCTTCTAAGGAAATGGTTGGATGTCTGAACCCCTCAAGCCATTGGATGCTCCCCAAATGACTTGGTAAACTGCTCTCATAAAGATGACAGACCAGAAGACCCTATGGGGATAGTTATAGGGTGGCTTGGTGGATTACGCATTGGGCTGCTAACTGCAAGGTCAGCAGTTTGAACCCACAAGCTGACGTGTGGGAGAAAGAGGAGGCTTTCTGCGTCTGTAAAGATGTATAGCCTCAGGAACCGACAGGGGCCGTTCTACTCTGTCCTAGAAAGTCACTGTTAAGTCCAAATGGACTCAGCGGCAGTGAGTTTGAGTTTCTGTGCGGGGGTGGGGTGGTGGTGGTGGGGTGTGAACGGTTGTTCTAGGCTGGGGTGGGTGTTGCTAAGATCTTGCAAAGTGACATACAACGTTTAGCAGCAGTGGAGGGAGGTGGACAAACTGCGCCTCCCCAACAGCTGCTTCAACTCTTTATAGGCAGTGGTTCTCCACCTTCCTAATGCCATGACCCTTTCATACAGTTCCTCATGTGGTGGTGACCCCAACCATAAAATTATTTTCGTTGCTACTGCTATGAATCGTAAATATCTGATATGCAGGATGCACTTTGTTACAAATTGAGCATAATTAAAGCACAGTGCGTCATCACAAAACAATATGTAATTCTATATCGTGAAATAGGTATCACTAATGACAAATCAGTGACATTCTGTCTGAAGCATGGTGTGGCACGGGTAAGTCTTCACGTCTGTGGGCGTAACTGCATGTGGGCGGGTCCGCCTGGAGACGGACAGAGAGGTGTCTCGATTCCTAAGACCATGGGAAAGATGTGTTTTCCGCTGTAAAAGGAACATTTGACTCCCCAAAGGGGTCGCGACCCACAGGTTGAGAACCGCTGCTTTATAGCCTTGACTTTCCTCATCTGGCTTCAGCTTCGCAGTAACCGGCGGGGGTAATCGCCCCGTTTTGCATAGTGGGAAAGTGAGGCAGGGAGGGGAGAGGGCCTCGTGTCACACAGCGGAGCCCCGAAGCAGTTCTTTCGATCGCATTACCCGAAGGAAAAGTCGACAAACAACTGCGCATGCTCCTGAAATCCGGGTTCCAGGCGTGGAACAAAAGTCACCAGGTGATGAGCGTACGGCGCTGTGTCTAGGGGCGCGGGCCTGGCAGGCGGCCACCGGGTGGCCTTTCTTCGCCAAGACGTGTGACCTCGGCACCCACGGCAGCCGCCAGCCCGAGACCCTGACCCCCTTACCTCCTGGGCCGTTTCCTGGGCAGGCTGGTGGGCTCGTGGTGGAAGCAACCACACCAGGAAGTCGCCGCCGGGAGGAACCAGTCAGGCCAGGCTTCGGCGAAAGCCCGGCGTCGGCTGCTGGCGGCCCACCCACTTACTGGCTCACGGAGCACGCCAGACCCTGGCAATTTTGGTCCAGAGCCGACTTGGCTTCGCGGGGTCTCGTCCTTTTCTGATTGATCGATTTCACCCAGAATAATGTCTTCATGCTTCATAATGAAGCATATGTCAAGACGTCATTTACTTTACTGACTGAGGAGTATTCCATTGTATATACTGTGTGTACTCATGTATAAGCCAAGTTTTGCAGCACATTTTTAATGAAGTATTTTTTTGTAAAATTAGGTGCCTCTGCTGATATTTGGGTTGGCTTATATGGCATGTGACACATTTTCTTTTATTGATTCAACTGTTAATGGACATTTAGGTTTTCCCTGTTAGCTACTGTGAGTTCTACTGCAAGATCATTAGTGTACTTATTTATTTTTCAGTCTCTGCTTTCCAAAATGTTTGGTATTTACCTCAGTAGAATTTCTTGGTCATATGGCAGATTTATATTTAGTCTTTTGAGAAAATATCACATTGTTTTCCACAATAACTGTACCATTTTTCATTCTCATTAGTAATTACTAAGGGTTCACAGCTTAAGGGCCCTATTGCAGGGCATACACAGACTGCCAAGTATAATAAAGGAAGCACACACAGAAGAAGACAAAATAGATGACTGGGGCATGCTGAAATCACATCACTCAAACACACGAAAGGCTTCATCAAAAGAGTAAAATAAGAGCCCATAGATTGGGAAATTTTTATTAACCAATGACACATTGAACAAGGGTCTAATTGCCAAAATCTACAGAACTCTAAAACAGTTCAATAAGAAAATAACAAACGACCCAATTAAGAAATGGGAAGAAGACATGAACAGACAGTTCACCAAATATTAAGTCCAAATGGCTAACACACACAAATGCTCATGGTCACGAGGCTTCTGGGAGATGCGAATTAAAACCACAATGAGATACCACGTTACACCCACGATGTTAGCCCAGTGCAAAAACAGAAAACAACAAATGTTGGAGATGTTGTGAGCAAATGGAAGTCATAGACACTCTTGGTGGGCTTGTACATATGTACAACCCCTATGGAAAATGTGTGAGAATACTTAAAGGAACCTGCAATTGAAATCCCATATGATCC